CAGAGACGTCTACGTTGGGATCGAGGAAACCGCTAAACTCTGTGGCTGATAACAGATCCTGGTGCGTCCAGGTGGACTCCTGGCGTCCTTGGTGGACCCCGGTGGCTGAATTGTCTACAGAGAAATAGCAGATCAGTGGACAACGCGAAGAGCCAAATATTTGCTTGTACCTTACTTGATTAATGCTACCCTTCACCGACTTCGAAAATTAAGAGATATTACATGAGTGAGATAATGCTAACCTCTTCACCTGTAAATCATTTCTGGGATATGCAGTCAGTCCCATAAGCATTCGTACCCTCTATGTTTATTGAAGACATTTGTCTAAATTAAATTACAGGTTTGGTGTTCACAAATAAATGTTTCGTTATAAATATATATATATATATATATATGCGTAAAATTTATTCATGTATATATTTATAATAAAAAATTTATTTGGAATCATCGAGCTCATCATTTAATTTCGCCTTTCTTCAACTTAGTTATAGGACTGACTGTATACGAGATGGATTTATGAGTAAGCTTTGTCTAATGAAACAAGGAATATTTGCTTGTTTATATATATTTGGTTACTCACTTTAATAGGCATATTAATAAGGAATTCTATTTAACTTTTTTATGTATATGTATTTTATGTACTGCCTCTACTTTCGTAGAAACTTTTCATTATTCTTTCGGCGTGGGAACATTTGTTTGGTCAACTTCGTAGCTTTACGGAGAAATTAATTTCTTAGAGGTCGTATAGTGATTTTCCCGTCTACCGCGCACAGATTATAAATCACGGTTCAATCACGTTTATTTTTTCATCTACCACAATTAATTATTTCCTGGCAATTAATTATTCCCAACATTTCTCGGCAATTAATTATCATTATACGTTTGCGTCTGGCGCTGGAGGGGCTGTGCTATTATTGACCGGGTTCGAGACTTATTACTATAGTTTTCTCTGAATTCTATGCTACTAAATGAACGGAAAAAATTTGTATTCATCATTATTCACATAAATTACATAATTATTTATTATATGATCACGAAATGTCCAAATACTCATTTTTAGAATATACAGTTCTCGATTGTGATCTATTTATTTTCATATTAAACACCATGGAGTTGTTTTCTTCTCACTCAGGTAGTTTTCGAAAGCATATTAAGAATAAATCTTGAATAATACTAAGGTTAAGGTTTTTATCACTTATTTATTTTAACCTAACTTCTCAATTACTAAATTACTTTTAGTGAATTCATATCTCATGAATTCTTTAAATACAAAAAATTTCGAATACAATTTTAAGATGGTTTTTGAATAAGACTCTGAAAATGTTAGTTTTAGTACTTAGTTAGTTGTAGTACTTTTCATGAAAATAATGCATAAATACATATTTCTGTTCAGCACCTAAATTCATAAGGTTAGAATTAATTCTAAATATTAATGTTATTGATTAATTTGTTAAACGATCGCATCGACCGTGGCATCGAATTGTTTGATGTTGTTTACGACCGTCATGAAAACGCGAGTGTCACACTGAAGGTAATTCCAAGGCGACGAGAGTACAGCATTAATCGGTGAAATTTCTGCTAGGCTCGAGCAGCAATGTATTAACAATTTAACGTGCCGACACCTGCGATAGCTATTATAACACAATTACATACAGCGCTTAGCGTGGAATTGTGTGTGCGTATCGTGAATTTGCGTAGCAGACTGCATCCGTACCATAGGATGCGGGGCGAATTGTTTCAGCTCGTAGGTCTTGGCGTAAACTCTATTATTATTCCCTTTCTTGTCAAAGTTTATTGAATGTCATAGAAGCAAAATACGCCATAGCGTAATAGAGCGTAATGGCGAACGTGAAATTAATATGAACGTGCATCACACAAACTCGAATATATGTTCGTCAGAGTGGTTCAGAAAATAATACATATTTAAAGGAGTACAATATTTATTTCTGGATTAAAAAATATTTTCTCTATATTCTTGTTGCTTAAGGTCTTTATATTTTAAGGTCTTAATATTTTGACCAAGTTATATTTAATAAAATGTCGAGTTTTTAACCCACCTAATCTCTAAACGTCAAGGTACACATAACATTTAGTATTTCGAGGAATCAATCTAACCCATTAACATAAATAAAAACGATATTTGCTATCTTGAAGTCTCTTTAAAATGAAGTATTATGGAGCTTTATTATTATAATTTGTATTAATTCAGTTTATTAAGAAAAGAATTATAAACAATGGTCGAAATGGTTTTATAAACTTCTGGATGTGACTAATATGACGTACATATATCGTTTACAGCAGTTGTAATTAGCATACGTCAATTATAGTCCGCAATTGAGACGTATTGGCGTAACGTGATCGAATTTGGTGAGTAGCCAGGTATATGAGAAATTGATTGTTTTAATTATAATTTTAAAGTAGACTGTTGTCACTATCAACATATAATATTCGAATATGTAGGCTTAAGGTTATTTAAAAAGGAAAATTAAACGAAGTTCTTCAAGTTATTTATTCACTAACAAAATAAAAAGCATCTACACAACTGATTGAATCTCATTCAAGTCTTCTTTAGGTTGGGATAATGTACTTGCACATGCTCTCCTGTGATTTTTTTGTAGATAACGTTCTATAACTTGAAATAGTATAAAATAGAAAATATCGACATTCTTATAATACATGTAATTTGGCTTGTTAAGTTCAAGTTTTAAAAACTTAAAGAACCTTACATAATTTATATTTATATTATTCCTTGCAAGTTTGCATCAAAACGTTCTACAACTTGGAACAACACCCACGTAAAAATGATCGATCATCCCATATGTACAATTTTGCTCGTTAAATTCACGTAAAATAGTATTCAAAATAAAACCCTAGCCGTAATTCTCTAATACTTCTCCGCTATAAAGCTCTTATATAACGAGTAAATAAAAGGACATAAACGGCATAGCCGGCGGCGGCAGACGAATATGATCTAGAAGAAACCCTCATATTGCGAATATTCCTTTTTCCAAGTAAATATCGGATAATTGATACGTTCCAAGACATACCACGTCGATGATACGGGCGAACGCAATAGAAATCCCATATTGCTTTAATTAAATCCCGCAGCTATCAAACGATAAGTAAGGTAGTCAAGTATTATCCAAGGTAATTGTTAAGTAAATACAATGAAATGTCGTTTATCGGAAATTGTGAGGATGCAGAACATTTCTGATGAAAAAGTTTTTTTATAAAATCGATCGGTGTCGATAAAAATAAAATGGGTGGACATTCGAGGAGCAGGTATAATTTGTGTCACCGAACAAAGTTATTATATCGCGCTAACACACGTGGCTACTGTATAGGTTCAAAGGAAACTTATTTTTTCTTAGATACAAACGTTTTTAGAATAGATATAACATCCACTTACCACATGTCTTCCGATAATAGATTTTGTGAGATTCATATTTTGACTAATTTCTACTATTTTATTTAAGTAATTTCCCATATTAAAACAAAATTTTCAATATTTAGTCTTCTGATAAATGATAAATAGGTTTTCCTCATATAAATATTATATACAAAATGGCGAAGCTTATCAAGTAAAACTAAATTATTAAATAAATAACAAGAATTTACAATACGTTACAAATCATCGTGAAAATGTAATTACGTTCTTTCTCAACATTTATTTACGAAATATTAACTAATGAAAAAGGAATGAGTACAATAACATGTATTATATAGTATAGTAAAGTAAATAAGTGTACCTGTGTGTTCGAATAAATTCAATTCAATCTCCCAAAATCGAGAGTAAAAAGTATCGTAGCTCAAAGCGTAGGCTTGATACATGCCATAGCGAACTCTGGAAATTATTATCTATGAAGAGAATTCAACAGAACACGATTCTACATTGCTGGAACGCTTTAGTCGGTTATGCAACTACGTTTGAGTAATTGGAGACGCTACAAAATCATGTTGTAACGATTATTCCAGCTGTTCTGGCATTAATTTTCCATTGCATGTGCAATCACGAGGAATTTCTGCAGCTTCTCCAACAATATTCGTCGAATTTTCTGAGATAAAGTAGACGCCGTCAATTTCATGACACAAATTTAATCGCTTGCTTTAATCCAACTAAGCTCCCAGTTTTCAATCTGTGAAAAATTTACGGCAAATAAGTGATTCAATTCTATAAAGAAACAACTTTTATCGTTATTCATACTCTTTTCGGAGCACGAGAAAATTTACTTTAATTTCAACCTGACATATAAATAAGAAACTACACGAAATATAGTTTTAACGAGAATGAGATTGGTGATCTTTTTAAAATTTAATTAAATATTTTTAATTTCAGGTATATAATTCTAAGTGAAAATAAATTGATGTCATATTTTGTTCATTTTTCATGTTTTGAAACATTTTCTTTAAAATACAATCAAGATAAATGTCGATTAGAATATATTTTCCACTGTTCTTCCATCTTTTTTAAAGACAGTACACACAAAAGATTTTCTTGAAATTTGTTTAAACGTACGAGCTTTATATACACTTAATCGAATGACTAGATAAGACAGACTATAGACTCCCATCGAAAAATGAAACAAAAGAAACGATACAAAAAAGAAAAATTGATTAAACACCTGACACCAGATGATATGGATGACAGAATTTACATAAAGTTGAATTGATGAATTGGAACTGTTATTTGACCAGTTGTGGTGCGTTTAGCGTTAATGCATCACAGAGACCAAATTGTTATATAGAGGTCTTCGTGGCTCTGGCATAGTTGCTTTGTTCAGGAACGTTACTGATTCCCCGCTGCTCGATCATACCGCAGCTAATGACCGGCAGTCATCCCCGAGCCAATGAACCGCGTGCGATTATGATTTCACGCACATTTATCTCGAAGAAAGCCCGTTACGGAAAGATCGTGCGAAATCGTTCCTTCTATAGCACTGGAAACCACTAGCACGCTTTAGGTGGCGGCGCGCGCGTTATGAAGGGCAGTTCGCCTCCGGCCGCCGTGGAGTACGAACGTGCCAGTGCGTCTCTCGATTCTCTCGATCTCTCGTTACATTCGTGTGCCGTATTCCTGTGAATGTTTTGTGTCGAATGTGTCCCTGATATTCTCATCAATATTCCATTCACTGCGCGTTTTATGCGGCGTTCAACGTATTTATTCGAAATACTTACGACCAGTGACTAGTGAAACTTTTGACAGGCCACATTGGACTTGGAACGATGCAACACCTGCCAGTCTTTTAGTGGACTTATTTAAAAGAAAGGTACGCCACTGCGTTAGGTGTCAGGTGGAATGGCATTAGGAATTGTAGTTGTTGACATTAAAACTATCGGAGTCAACCTGTTATATATAATTATGTTTTTGGAGTTAGGGGTAGGGAGAAGAAACCTTAATTAAATTAAATAATTTGTTGATTTAAATTTATTCTTTGTTGCAATAGGTGTCCTTAAATATTTTTGTAGTAGCCTTGTTAATGATTGAGTTGCTTTTGAAAGAAGTTCCAAGTGCATTGGTATGCATTCAACTACATCTTCGTAATTAGAGGGTAGAAGCGGTAACTATTGAATTTGACAATTTAAAATTAATTTTTTGTTACAATAATTGTCCCTTTGTAAAAGCAAAATCATTGTTGATGATCGAGTGACATTAGAAGGAAATTCGAAGTGCATGGGTGTAGTAATTAGAGGGAGGAGAAGGAAACTACTTTGCCAATTTAATTAATTCATTGTTAACATAATTGCCCTTCAATATTATTGTAAAATGATTATTAATAATTGAGTGACTTTTGAAAGAAGTTCGAAGTGGATGGGTCGAATTAATCGGCTTGGGAGTTTTAATGTTAAAAGTCGTACGCGTTGATTGCTTCAAGGTATTTACTTTCAGAAATTAAATTTCCGAAGAGGATTCCTCGTGAAGTTGGGAACGTGCAACGTTAAATAAATATTTGATTTCATATGGAATTAAACTGTTTCGATTCTGACTAACACATTTATACTTGATACTTTACAGTCGATAGTACTATAACTTGTAATATAGGTATATATCCGTGTGTACATTTACTTTTATGAAACTTTAGAGTGATATTTCTCAATACTTCTCAAAATTCTCAATATTTAGAAGGCTTTTCAAAAGGGTTCTTAAGGATTTGTTTTTAATACGCCTGTCAGCGTGGTGGACACTTAGACATATAATTGTGATGACGCGAAAAAATCGGATGTATAAACGTGTTTTATCAATGAATAGAATTCCAGAGCCTTTTTAGGAAAACCTTCGTTTGAATACACGCATTTACAATTTGTTTAAAATTGCTTCAAAAAACGAAGTTCAACGTAAAACCACGTTTTATTTATCACGTATATTTATAATCGTGTGAAAAAATCGGATATATTATTATTAATTTTTTATTTTATTACATACATCTGTTGTATTACATACAGTTTGTCTAACAATGTTTTTAAATGTTCCAGTTAACGAAATTCAACCTGAAACCATGTTAAGAAGTGAAACATTAAAAGTTAAGGTGTATGATTTTTACTTTCTCACGAACATTTATATATCTTACTATTAATTCATCGCCATTTAATTTTGAATTTGAAGTGGACGACGCGGATGTCGATTTTGGAAGTTCGATCTGCCGGCTTTATGCGTTTCCCGACGTTTGCAAAATAGATGTCACGTGCACGATTTATTTTCGATCGCTGTTTACGATACTAGGAAAACGTTTCTCGATCAAGTGAGTTTATACTCTGTTGCAAGTGAGTCGTGCGAATGCTTTTGACATTGACGTGTACACATTGACTTTGCAGCGCGACATACGTTACTACAATATTTAACCGTTTAATATTGCGGACAGATTACAATTAGGAAAATATGCTTTGTTATAAGAAATTAATTCTGTGCGTTTATAGGCATGCATTCATAACTCCAGTTTCAGTAGAAATATTAATTCGTCATACTGTTACGTTAGAGTACAAACCTTCTATGCCCTAAAACTAATCTTTATTACGATGAATCTATTTCAGTTTGAATAGATTAAATTTAGTAATTTGTTGCATTAACGTGCCAAGCTTCATAGTAATGAATAGACTGTGGAAAGATAGAAATTTATATAATTATCCTTTACAAATAAATGATACATTTAATTTAAAACAGGAGATCGAATCAATTGAATATTACATAAATTAAGATTCATATGGAAAGCGATTTTATCTTCAGCTTATAGTGTAATATAAAATATCGATTCGTAAATGGAAGACAAAGTGATTTGCTTTTGTTTTCAGAACATCTTACATATTCCTATTTGTTCTTTCCACGTACAAAACATTGTACGTACATATATTTTTCAAGGGAAATTGAGTTTACAAGAGGTATCTTATTTGTGGAAGTAAGCTCTACGTACGAACTACGAAAATTTTCAATTTTCTTCTCAAGATTTCGCAGATGGAAGCAAACAAGGTATCTGATACGTCCCGCATTTCAAATGTTTATCTATATCACAGGAATTACCAGGTCCGTGTTTCTTTAAATTAAAAACAAAACAAATTCTCGAAATAACTGAAGTCAATCAGAATTCATTCAAGGACTTTTGTGATTATTATAAAGACTAATTTGCGACGGTACAAAAGTTCCTACTGTTTAAGTTTCCATTATCTCTTGACCCACTTCAATGATCTGACTCTTTTGTTCATTGTAAATTAATTCCCATCATCTCTTTAATATTCTCTGTAAATTTAATAAACTCGCAGCCGGCGTGCCACTTGTAATGTAAAAAATAGCGCGCTGCTTTGAATAAACAATCGGTATAATCGAAACTCTGTATTTGTGACATGGAAAATATGAAGATAGTAAATTGAAAAAGTTTGGCTACGAAGAAAAATGCATCAATTCTCTACATATTTACTCGCATGCAATACGGTTTTTTGTTCATCGCGAACAGGGATGAATATTGGGTTCCCGTGTTATTAAATTAACAACTCCACCGAGTGAATGCATGCAATTGCTCGTATATTGTACAAATTCTCGCGTTATAAAAGAACGCTGGATTTCCCAAAATTAGACAAAAAATTGGATCCAATGGTCGCATAATTGTTGGAATAAATTACTCCAGTTCGATGAAAGATAATAGCTAGGATTGCGGATGTTGACAAAATAAAGAAAAAATGACGAGAAATTAGGCGCCCCTATAATGTCACGAGTACTGAAAGAACGTTTCAGATAAAAAATGTTATTCGTGGTAGACCATTATCTCCGTCTAGATGATTCACAGGGAAGAGAAATAAACGACACGATATTCCCTGGTGTATTTGTGGGCTGAAGCACACCACATTTTCCCCGAAAATTGTTTACGTCTCTTATTTCCTGTTTACTGCGATGCTGTCAGTTTGGTGGAAGACTGAATAACTGATAACGTCGGAATAAATAATAATGCCAAAACGTTTAAAGTTTTCGCGACAATTTCGAACCTTCACCTAAAGCAGTCTCGGTTTGTTTGATACTGCATTCGTTTTCTCATTTGTGGACAATTATGAATATTAATATTGCATATAATCGAAACTGTCAGGTATTTGATATCGTGAAATTTCCATGCATGCCTTTGTTTTACGTAAACTGAGGCATAATAGGTTTACACGGTTCACTAAAATCCTGAAAAATGATAGTTAAATGTAATTATGTAATTATGTAACCACCTATTATTTTTAATAATTCGATATTTATTTCTAATAATTTATTACTTGGTTTCTGTGAACATATGCTTTAATTATACATTGATGTTTTATATTCTCATTTTATTCACTTTTTTAAATCTATTTATGATTATTTATATTAGCCACAACTCGTTACGTCTCCTGTATAATGAATGCCCATGATCACATGTATTACTATGGATTACTACATGGATTAATACGTCCAAAATTTTAATTTCGATAGCAAAAAGTGGCCAACAAAGTAGGTCGTGTTTAAATGTCTTCTGGAAATTCACCGAATCGTCAAAGCAAAAGCAAATTCATTCGTTTCAACTATTTTATTTAGCAAAGTTCTTCTTTATTTTGGAATAATAGAAAAGCTCAATTTTATTACCGATTATTTTTATTATGAATAGCAAGGAACCAAAGGAAAGGAGTTGGAAAGCAAACTGTTAAAACAAATGTTAATAACACGAACCATCTACTTTGACCACAATGAGAAACTATTGATGCTATTTAATATCAATATGTGTAACGTTAAACCTTTCGTTTATCAGTATATTAAAAAATATGAGGTACATTTCACGTGTATTTTAATATTTCTTTAATTAGAATTTTTTACTTATTTATAGCATTCTTCTTATTAATATTCCTTTTACTAGTGTTGCATTGACTGAAAACATCAACTTAAAATCCGAAAGTAATAAGCACAAGTAAACTGAAAGAAGTGAATTTTAATTTATTTAAAGGATTTTTTTTTACCAGAATACCATTGGTTAAATGCGAAAAATTCAAATCCAGAAGAGCTATGCGAACATAGTTTCTAAGGTGTACGTGACGGGAATAAGTATAAGTAAACCGAGAGAAGTGAGTTTCAACGTATTTAAAGCTGAAATATATACGGATTGATGGTATTAAAATAAGCGGAAAGGAATGAGAAAGAAAACGCTCGACGCAATTCTGGAATCGTCCCATGGATTTCCCGTCGTGAAGCTTCGCGATCAAGGAAACGCGCGAGCGTTTCCTCAGGGGAAATTACGAATTACACGTTTTTCAATTAAATGTACCGAGTCTCGTCCACTGAGGAATAGAGACGCGACACGTGGAGAGGGCCGACGAGGAGAATCAGCCCGCAGGCTTTGCATCCGCTTGCCGATCGTGAATTTTATCTCCCAGAGACACGTATATTGACTTAATATCGAAAATGAAAGCAATTGTACAGCTGGATACGTTCCTAGGTAATGGTCTTCGTTATTAAAATCGATGAAATTCCTGCGATTATTTTCTCTCTCTCTCTCTCTACGTTGATTCATATAACATTGGAAAATAATAAACATTTGAAAGATAATGTTAACGTTTCAATGAATTAATACGATTTTTTGAGAATTTTCACGATTTCACTGCGACTGTATGAAACGTTTATATTCTTATCGCTGGAATATTATTTCTCCAATTCGAAGATATCAGAGTTTTCCACTTTGTTATTGTTGGAATAGCGACGGTGGAGTAGAACCTCTGTTATGCGAACTATTTGGAAAACAAAAGTGTTCAAATAAGAGAATTTTCACGTAATAGAAAA